GGTATGGCCATTCACTTGACCTCACCTCGGCAAAAGGATGGGTCCAACGAGATAGACCCCCTGTGTATTTCGTGAGCCAACGGCCAGTTCACGTGAACTGGCAGGTGTGGGGATAGCACTAAGCATGAGGGCGGAACAAGCACTGTTGGAGTGGATCCCCGTTAACAGTCGTTTATGTGCTGTTCGGCTAAACGGCTTCGTAAGAATTCGGAAGGATAGGGACACACGTCATTACCCTTTCGTCGTTTCTACCCACGCTCCCACCGACTGCAGCTCGGATGAAGTGAAAGATGAATTTTACAGAAAGCTATCTGAACTTCTTCAGAAAGCTAAACGTTCAGACATAGTACTCGTAGCAGGTGAGTTTAATGCCCAGATAGGTAGTTTAAACCAAACAAAAAGGCATTTAGGTGGGTATTTTAGTATTCCGGCACAACGAATAGGTAATGGTGGTCGTCTGCTGCAACTGTGCTCAGACAATCGTTTATTTTTAACAAACACAAATTTTAAGCATAAGAAGAGACATCGTCTAACATGGCGACCCCCTACACCAAACCAACGATGGACTCAAATAGACCATATTGCCATCAGTCATCTTTGGAGAGGGTCGGTAGAAGATTGTCGCTCATTCTGGAGTACCTGCTTGGACTCCGACCATGCCCTAATACGGGCACGCATCTGCTTGCGCCTCACTGGACGCAAAAAAGCCACACTAAAAGGACCCATTAGAACTGGATTGAGTAGCGAGAAAACCAAAAGTAGGTTCCAGGAACAACTGAGGTCACAATTAGGTAGTTCTGAAAACGAGGTTGACCCAGATGTTGCTTGGAAAGCTATACAAACTGCTGTGAAAACAGCAGTGACATCTATCAGTGATTTAAACCACAGGGTTACAAAGAACCAATGGATTTCTTCAAGGTCTATTGCACTGATGGATTCTCGCAAACTCATCCCATCAGGTTCTGAACACGATGAATAGCGTAAACAAATCAGATCTAGGTGCTTGCAATGCGCTTTTCTCCCAGCAATATTTCTAAGGCATCTGTGGTCAAATACTAGTAGCTTTCAAGATAAGTGAAGTTGTCAACTCTTTCGACTGCTTCACTCCCTATCATTAGTTCAGGTGTTGACGCAGACCAGTATTGAAGTAACAACTTGCGTTTAGAGGGAGAGAAGCGCATTCCAAACATTCTGGCATTGTTGCTTAGTGCTACCAGAAGACTGCATTTTATCAGCGTCTTCACCAAACAGAACCACATCATCTGCGTATTCTAAGTCGATAAGTGGACCTCCTGAAAGGAGATCAATACCCGAGAACTCAGTTGACGAGAAAGTTATTTCCATCAGTAGGTCTATGATGAAGTTAAACAAAAATGGAGAAAGTGGACAGCCTTGACGGACACCACTTGAGGTTGCAAAATCAGATGACAGTTCGCCATAAGCTCTGACTCGACTAGTAGTGTTCGAGTAAAGAGCCTTCACAAGGTTTATGTACTTCTGAGGTACGCCTTTCAATGACAGACACTGCCACAGAATCTCGCGGTCTACCGAGTCAAATGCTACTTTTAAGTCAAGAAATACCACCATTGTCGGACGCCGATAAGTATGCCTGTGTTCTAGAACCTGACGAATGGTGAATATGTGGTCGATGCAGCCACGACCAGGTCTGAAGCCAGCTTGATTCTCTCGTGTTCGCAGTTCACGAGTCTTAGTTACGCGTCCGACAATTATCGAGGCTAGTATTTTAGATACTATATTAGTTAAACTAATCCCTCTATGGTTGTCACAGGATGATTTTAACCCTCTCTTATATATTGGGACGATAAGTGATTGCGACCAGTCAGGTGGAATAACGTCTAACTCCCAGAAATTAGCTAAAATATTAGTCAACCTAATCGCTAAAATTGGACCACCATCCTTAAAGACTTCTGGAGCCAATCCATCTGGACCAGCTGCCCTTCTTCGTTTCAGATTAACTATAGCCTTTTGAACGTCAGCTAGGATTGGGGGACCTACTTCAATGTTCCATTCACACTGTCTGGGAATGGTGGGTAGTTGTAGAGTAGCTGAAGGCCATCTGAACTGTTCTCTAAAATGTTCCGCCCATCGTTCTAAACGTCTGGACTGGGAGCAGATGAGAGTGTCGTCTTTTTCCGAAGTAGTCTGACTCACACTTGACTTCTTAATTCCAGTTTCTTTTATTAGTCTGTAGAGCTGTCTTGTGTTCCCATAGCTGCCGCCCTTTCCATCTCTTTCGTTGCCCACCACTGCTCACGGTCGTTCCTTAGACTTTTGCTTAACCTAGATCTGATTTGTTGTCGCTCTTCATCATGTTCAGAACCTGATGGGATGAGTTTGCGAGAATCCATCAGTGCAATAGACCTTGAAGAAATCCATTGGTTCTTTGTAACCCTGTGGTTTAAATCACTGATAGATGTCACTGCTGTTTTCACAGCAGTTTGTATAGCTTTCCAAGCAACATCTGGGTCAACCTCGTTTTCAGAACTACCTAATTGTGACCTCAGTTGTTCCTGGAACCTACTTTTGGTTTTCTCGCTACTCAATCCAGTTCTAATGGGTCCTTTTAGTGTGGCTTTTTTGCGTCCAGTGAGGCGCAAGCAGATGCGTGCCCGTATTAGGGCATGGTCGGAGTCCAAGCAGGTACTCCAGAATGAGCGACAATCTTCTACCGACCCTCTCCAAAGATGACTGATGGCAATATGGTCTATTTGAGTCCATCGTTGGTTTGGTGTAGGGGGTCGCCATGTTAGACGATGTCTCTTCTTATGCTTAAAATTTGTGTTTGTTAAAAATAAACGATTGTCTGAGCACAGTTGCAGCAGACGACCACCATTACCTATTCGTTGTGCCGGAATACTAAAATACCCACCTAAATGCCTTTTTGTTTGGTTTAAACTACCTATCTGGGCATTAAACTCACCTGCTACGAGTACTATGTCTGAACGTTTAGCTTTCTGAAGAAGTTCAGATAGCTTTCTGTAAAATTCATCTTTCACTTCATCCGAGCTGCAGTCGGTGGGAGCGTGGGTAGAAACGACGAAAGGGTAATGACGTGTGTCCCTATCCTTCCGAATTCTTACGAAGCCGTTTAGCCGAACAGCACATAAACGACTGTTAACGGGGATCCACTCCAACAGTGCTTGTTCCGCCCTCATGCTTAGTGCTATCCCCACACCTGCCAGTTCACGAGAACTGAGGACAAAAAGTAACAAGAAGAAAAAGGCTCAATCACTGAGGTTGAAGAGCAGCAGAAGTGGTTGATGGAACACTTTGAAGTGCTCTTGAGTAGGCCAGACTCGTTGAAGCGGCGACATTGAAGCAGCGTACAGACCTTCCTATAGATGATGTCTCACACTGAGAATTAATAAGGCTATCAGGCAAATCAAGGATGGCAAGAGCAAACAGCATATTAACTGAAGTACTAAATTCATATGTAGAGGTATCAGCAAAGATATGTTCTTTTCAAAAGGATATGGAAGAACAAGTGCCAAGAAACTGTGAAAAAAGCCTAATCAATATACTAAAGAAAGTTCTTATTGGGTGAGAACTACATAAAGATTGCACTACTGTTAGTACCAGGCAGTTTTCAAGTGTTTCTGGACCTAATGAAAGGTTCAGTAAACAATAAGAGACGAGAAAAATTGGTAGCAAAGAATCATATATTTATATAGTATTACCATACGTTTTACTTTACTATGAGTAATTAAGATAGTACACGTATTTTAATGCTCTCATTATCCTGATCATGATTAATGTTCTGTAACACATCAGCACAATGAAATGAACTTAAAAAGTAAATGGCATTATCAACAATGGTGAAAACGACTAAGGAGTAGGAACATGCTTCGAAAGAATGGATGTTGTGAAGGTATGTGTGGAGTAGTGAAACCTACGATTAAGGAGGTAAAATGTGAGTGTTTGCGCTACTATGATCAATTTCGGGTCAAGTCGACCAATGTCTCCGACTGCTAATCTTAATTATCTAGTAGACTCTAGGTAGTCTGTGTTTGCCAACACGACCTAACTCAACAGTCAATGACTTCATAGACATATTGAATCCAAAGACGCCTCTAAGTTTTCCTAAATCATTCATGTTTATAAGTAAACAGTGGTTGGAAAAAAGTAAAACATGACACATCCAGTTCAGTCAATGGAGATCCAAGGTCTAATAAGTTAACTCACCATTTCTGTCTGTCATAGATTTATGTGAAGTTCCTTAACAAATAGATGAGGGCTTAGTCCAGTACAACCTAATTGCATCCACCAACCACAAACATATATTTACTTATATCCATAGACAATCTATATTCAAGCAAGCTAACATATGATCTGACATATCTCGAAATATGACGACAACCGGTTTGACAGTAGCGGAGTGATTTCTTAGATCTCTCAGACGAATATTCAGAAGTGCTAGACTATCCTAAAACTTTTACAATCAGGCGAATGAACCATAATGAATGGACGAACCAATCTGATTCGAGACAGAGACATTTGGGGTCTTGCACGGAATTTATTCATCCATAGGGTTAAATGGCATTTCGGGATTACAGCTAGTGTCACACTAACTTTGATACCTAAACCCAAAACCTTATTATAACTCCTAGATCCGACTCTTCATACCACTTTGTGACCCCACTTTTACACTTGTAAATGGTTAGTGTCTCACATCCACTTTAGTATCGCTTAAAGGTAGCCCATAAATTATAATCTCGCTCATTTTAGTAGTAACATAAGGTGAGGTAGATAGTTGAAAGCAATCAATGGCTCACGTAAAGACGTCATATTGTTTAAAACTACGTAAACAACGATAGGTGTCTCTAATTAGTTAATGAGATGAAACTCGGTCCACATAAAATCATTTGGATATTTTGGCTCTTATATTAATCTCCTAGGTCTTACGTTTCGAATGAATCGAGAAGTTAGTCAGAAATAGGACTTGGAAACGAGGCTGGTTACGTGAACTACGTAGAACTTACTCGCAACGTTTCTATTGAGTGGATATTTTCTCGGCACTGAGTAGCGACCTTATCACTACCAGTCTTTGACAAGTATTCCAAAAGAACAAGAGCCTTGTAAACATGTCGCCAGTTTTTACTCTTATCATTGAGTCTTCTCCAAATCATTTGCATTATTTCCGTGAATGCCATAACATTATGAGTCTTGTCAGCTATTTCGGCCATTAAAGTGCTGCTAGGACCCCATGGATCGTTCGATGTAGCTTCCCGAACCTTTCTTTCAGCATCTGTATAATTGTGAACGACATTTTTTATATGTCTGTGGATGGGCATGTCCAAGTAAAGACAAAGGAACTTTAGGAACACAGTAGTAACACTAATATCAAGAGAAGCGCACCAACAGCTAGCCCGAGAATCCTTCCAATGTCCAATATCTTTATCACGAACTTGTATGAACCAAATGATTCCTTTGCACCCGAATCTTGTCGTTTCAGTACAGTCCCAGTTGCTTGGTAATGTCCAAGAGATGGTTATCTGGCCAGTTATCCAATCAGTTTATTAGTTTATTTCGGATCTGATTCAAATGGTTCAAGTGGTTGTGGACGGAATAGGTTTCGCTTAATGGGCTTCTGTATCTAGTAGCAGTGGATCGTAGATGCCCCCAGACAAGAGTCCAGGTATATTAACGAAGAAGGGGGAAAATATCAGTAAATCATAGTGAAATACTATCCTTGGTCCTTGAGAATATGTTGCGTTACCTCCGAAAGGACTCCTGAGAAGTGGTCTGAACTAGCTCAACTGGTGGAAAATTCCAACAGTTGACCACTCTTAAGGAGTGGAAGGTGTGCCTACAGTCTGTTCTAATTTGTCGCTTCTCCAGTTTCTGGGTGTTACTCCTATGGTTTGTGTTGGGACTAAGCCTAAGTAGGTGTTTAGGGGGATGTCCAGAAGTGTTTAGGATGCTATAAGTCGTAAGTCCTCTCTAAGACCCCTGTACTCCAATGGATAAAGGTTCAGTGATTGGGAGTGCGAGTCATATGACTTAAATTTGATTCCCCGAAATAATCTCGTGGCTCGCCGTTGGATGCGTTCCAGAGTGCCCTAATCTTTTAGAAGAATGGGAAGAAATACTATGTTTCCGCACTTTAAATAGGAACGGATAAAACTGTTGATTATGTGGAAAATTCTTCCGTCAAACTGACCAAAAATGAGATTCAACTTTACCATTGCAAGCGTTGCTCAAAAAGCATTTTTGTCTCAGTTAGTGTAAGACTTCAAATCGCAGGGTACAAACACTCCTAGATCTTTTTCAACTTGGGACACCTCCAGAGGGGTCATCTGAGAAGAGGTCCTAGTACTGAACATTGGGTGACCTAACTAGGATTTTCCATAGCCTGAGAGAAAAAGTGAAGTTAACCCTGACCACAAAATGTCGAATTTTTAGATATGAAGTGAGCCAGTCAATTAGAGGTGAGCTGATATCCAGTCGTTTGAGCTTATTGATAATATGTATATATGGTTTACCCTATCAAAACCTTTTGAGAAGTCAAGGTAAATGACGTCAACCTTCCCTTTTGATCAAGGATGGTTGTCCATCTGTCCACTGAAATCAGCGGGTTGGTTTTCCAAGAGTGACCTTTTCTGAAACTGTGTTGTTGGGCTGGGTTGGACAGTTAGCAGTCTCATAGACCGCCACCTATCATGGATTCCATAGTTTTCGAGGGTATAGAGAGGAGTGCTACCGGTCTGTAGCTTGAGGGTTCGCTGCGTCGATCTCCATTAAAAACTGGTGTAATGTAAGCCAGCATCCAATTTTCTGGTAATGTGCCTCAGCTTAGCCAGTATGAGAAAATCACTCTGAGCAATGTTGCTAAGATTGAAGCTGATTCCCTCAGTATAGCAGAATGAGTCATATCCCGGCCAGGAGAAGTGTCACTGATTGGGCGCTGCAGCTTCCGACACACTAAGTCATAGCTCAGAATCACTTCTGAGAGTTCTGTTAAGTTGCTGATGAATCACTCATGAATATGGTTAGTATTAGTCATTCCAAATGCTTGAAAGCACTGTCCTGCTAGAAGGTCGGTGGCGTCACCGTCGTTATTGGTTGAGCCACTAGAAGCTAGGACACTCCGGTTTTGGCTTGTCGAAGAGAGGCTGAGTTACGGAATAAGCTTTTCAGGTCGGAGACAAGTTAATCTATTACCTATATTTGATATAGAAAGCTATAATCCTTTATTGTCTTCGTACATTCTTTCTTGCTTGTTTGAATTGCCTGTATGCGTTGTTGTCAGTTCGTTTGTATTCCATCTAGTAGTGTTTTTTGAGGCTTAGCAACACGAAGGGTGAGATTCTTCATGACTGCAGGTTGCTTACAGTTTTGGGGGAACGTTTGTCGAGTAGACTAATTTGTGGCACAAAATATCGTGTGCAGTAAGAAATCCTAATGAGTGCCCACGTCAAGCTGAGGATGAACTGCCCAATCCACTCGCGAAACTGACTTTAAGGGGGTTGAAGTTTCCTAGAATCAGGATGAGTCTGTTGGAGACGAGTAGAGCGTGATAATTCTTCCAGCATACGAATGTCAAACTAGATTTCATCAGTGGGCTTCTTGTAGACCACTTCTACTAGACACTTCGAGGTGTTAGACAATTTCACCGAACACCATACGAATTCATCAGAATTGATAAACTCCTGGTAGTACACTTGATGTGAGATCAAGCAAGATCACAGGAACAGGCATACTCCGTTTCCCATTCTTGTTTTTTCCGTCATTGTGAAACAAAGACACGCCAGATATTGCTAGTCCCTTGTCCGTAAATTGAGGAGACACTCATGTTTCGGATATTCTTTTAAGATGAGTATTATTAGCATTACGGAGTTCACGCAGCTCATCCATTTTATTCGGCGTTTATATATAGGCAGTTTATGCTTTCAATTTGGGACGCGTGAGCTTTTACGACCTGTTTGTCTGTATGAGCTTTATATGAATAGACAGATAGCCTACCTACACAGGGTTTTAAAAGTTGATATTCTCTGTCCTTCCTATGTTTTTTTCACGATCTTGATAGTTCGCGAGTGGAATATCCTGTTTCAATTTGCTTTCGTGCTTGATCTTTGCATCATATGGCCTGTCACATCCAGGTATCAAATTTTATTCTTAATTTACAAGTAATCACAAATATATCGTTCTAATTGCAAATATAATAACTACAGAACAAGCCCCCGAATTTCACGTTATTGGAGCAAAAGCTTCCAAAATACCGGACCACATACAGAGCGAAACCGAAGTCTGAGATACAAAAACAGATTTAGAGTTGAGTATTGAAAATACATCCAAAACACGGTGAAATCATTAACAATCAATATAACATTTGGTATCGTTTTACTTGAATCTTCTCAGTGATGTTTTAAGACTGAAATTGATCAGTCTCTTATTGGCATATGTGTAGTGGCATTGGACAATAACCGCACAATCATCAAAGGCGTCTCGGATTCTTTAACGTTACGAATTTCTGATAATTTCGAATCACCTAAAGCAACAATACCTATTTTTCCACTGACTAATCCTCAATCAACACTATAACTAGTTAAACGTAATAGTTTGAGGATATCATCATGAAGCATTGTCATGACTTGACAATCACGTAATATGATTGATAAAATTAATGAAACTATTAACAAAATCGGTCAGCAAATTGACTTATAATTATCACTCGTGTTGTTTTTCTTTTATCTTCATTCACTACAGATGATTACAGTGTGTTTCTCTATCAGTTGCTCATTCAGTAAATATCTCAAAACCTTGTCAGTCTAATTGATGGTTTAGCGACACAATCATGCATGCAAATAATCAGTATAAGCAGTCGAGCAAACCTCCTGCAAACTGAAAACATCAATGTCGAATTTACATCAACAATGACTGAGCCCAAACAACCAAAAAAGGGAAATAAAGGCGAACGAAGGGGCTTGAACCTAGGTTCAAGCCATTATCATAGACATGAGTTGAGAGTGTACTCCCCTTGGTTACAACTTATGTACTCCCTGATAATCACATGAGCGTCACTCACTGTTAATTATCTTGTAAAAACTTATCTAGCTGAATACATCTTACAGCACCACATCACTTAGTAATATGACACATAGGCTTAACTAATTTCAATAACTTATAACCACTATATCTCAGTTAAATCGTATTCCGCCTTATGATAAACTGCATACTTGCAACTAACTTGTGTGCCCAATCAGCCGGCAAGTATAAATATAAATAAATAGTCTATCGCAGATCGGAACATTGAGTCTAGAGCATGTCTCTTACGAACACACTCATGTTTAACGATTTGTTCCTAGCTATCTATCCAAAATCCATATAATTATCACTCACGTATTTAAATTTTATTTTGATAACCATTCATGTGTATTAGTAGTATTACTAAATTCTATCACGGTCAAGTGAAAATGAGGTTGAGAAGATCTCCCCGTAACTAAATAAACCGTATCAAACTAACTGGAACACTAGTTGGAATTCTTCTCCACGGTAATACTTTTGTTCCTTCAGTTAGCCTACTAATACAAATGCAATTGAAAATCAACTCATTGACAACTTACTAGCATGAACGCTATTTGATTTCCTAACTAAAACCGAAATGAGTACCAATATTAACATTTCTACAATATTTATTACTTTAGTATTTCTAAAAACAAAATACTTACTACCTATACGTTAAGTTATTAACCAAAGGCCATCAACACGCATCGTTATATTATTACTATTATTGTAATCTCATTTTTTATAGCTCAAATAATCTTCACTCGAATTCTCATTTTAAGCGTGTTAAGCATGAAGGCAGATATTTTAAAATTATTACATGTATTTCCCGACCAGATGCTGCCGCCTTCCTCTTGATTTATCTTTCAGCTTACCATTACACATGGATGCTTACTGGTCTTGGTAACCGGTGCACGACAATCCCATCCAGTTCAGTGTCGGACTAACATCACGTTGATTCTGGTGGGAGAGCAGTATAGTGGCATTGGACAATAACCACACAATCCACAAAGCTGTGAACACGAGACTACTCAGAAAATAGACATTCAATATTTAACTCGGGGAAATACCTAACAATGGAGAAGGCGCGGATAATGAATTGAATGGACTGGAGTTGATCGAGTGGCATGGCTCGGCCATGCAGGCGTGGTCTCTCCTGAATGTTACCTTATATCTTCTATTTATATTAAATATATTGTTCTTTCTCTAGCCTAACCTTGTTCTACATCATGTATTGGTAATTGATACGATACAGTGAGTTGGTGTAGTCGATGGTGTGACTTCCACGTAAGATCTTATAGGTTAGGCAGTTATATCATGACAAATCTACAAATTTAGGATTAGGTCTATTATTAGAGCAGTACTAATATCATAGTAGACCATA